CTAACAAAGAATTCTTTCGAATCAAGTGATGTACCTAAAATCATTGACTACCTCAATATACACACAATGTCATTGCTTGGTCCTAACAAGAAACAACAAACAACTGCTGAAGCAGTTAGAGAAGAGTTTAAAAATATCCAAACATTATCAGAATTATTCACTGTACTACAAGACAAATACATATCATGGTTCAACTATAAACTAATAATAAAACTTGTTGGAGTATTTCTACCAAAAAATCGTTCATTAAAGAGGACTTGGTCGTCATATGAAGAGAAGTTAAAGGATTATTTTATAAACAGTGGAGGACTATTGAAAGATGCTGATGCTGTACAGTTTGGTGTAAAAGGCCTTCCTCCTGGTACACGAGTAATGATTGCTAAAGTTGACAGAGATGACTACACACTGGATGACATATTCTTCTTTCGTAGAGCAATACCAGAAGGCTTGGATATTCCTGAATATGATCTTCACTTCTGTTTTGTCTACGATGGTTCTCTCTGTTTGGGTTACCTCATTCCTGAGTATCTTTATTCTTTATTATTTCCTCTAACTACAAAGCTACAGCAACAGTTAGCTAGTATTGGTATCACTGAACTAACATGTGGTGAAGATAAATATGATCTAAGAGAGGTTTGTTATTATAATTGTGTAAATAATTGGGGCGAGCCTGAGCGAGCCCCACTAAAGGCAGATTTACAATATTATGCTAGTCCAGAAGTTGAATCTGGTTCAACTCCAGTGTGAAATATGCATCAAAAGGTCAATTCACCCACGCTTTTGATTAAAAATTAATGGTATACGTTAGCCTAGCGTCATATTGTAAATCCACCTTAAGGCCAGAAAGCATCTGTATGTATGTATGTACATGTATGTACGGACATAGGGTCGTCTAACTATTATTAAAGTTAAATAGCCTAATTTTAATTTAAAATGGGTGTGTTCACAATGAACAAAATGGCGGCTATCAGCAAATCTGAGCTAGTTTGCAGCAAAGTGAGCAAATGGGCAGCAAGATAAGATGAAACTGCTATCCAAAGACTTCTTCAGCAGAAAGAAAGGTTGGGAAAGCAGATATACAGCTTTCTTTCTTGACAAAGGACTCTGTTGAGATGAGTGCAATGAGAAACTGCAGTTTATTTTCTAGCAGCAATTAAGATCCGGCAAGAAGGGCTATCTTCTTCACAATAATTTTGATTTATTCAGTGATTGAGAAAATTACATTTTTAAGCAAGATGACTAGACCTACATATTATACTGTATTTACGCATGTACAAGGAGGCTTGAGCACCCCCCTCATGACTGGGCTCAGAAAAAAAATTATCACCCCCTGATCAAAAATACATAAATAAAAATACATAAATTTTATGTATAAATACATAAAAATTTATTATAAATAAATATCAGGGGGTGATCATGATCACCCCCTGATCATGATCTCAGCAGTTTCCAGTGCTTTAAGGAGCGATCAGAAGTCATCAGAAGTACCAGTATGCTTCAAGGTATGCTTGAAATTATCTTGACCACACCCGTAATTCACGAAAATGAAGGAAAATGCTGTTTAACCGCCGTAAAAAGGGGTGTGGCCAAAATTGTGGTGTGCTTCGCGCGCCCTCAGCACCCCTCTTTTCCAACTTCTGGATATGCCACTGTAATATCATGCAGTACAATGAATACATAGGCTTAATGCTTTGGCTCGCCCCTTTAATGTTTTACATTTGTCTAGTATTATTTTTAATTTTACAGTTCTCGATAGAAGAGGTTAAGCACTCATCCACTGATATTGGTAAGTAAATGAACTGACCTTTAGTCACTCCCTCCATACATAACTTGTATTACAAAACTATTCCTTATTTATAGATATACATGTATGTGATCCATTATGGTATGAGAATACCAGTACACCATTACATGAAGCAGCTTGGAGAGGATTAAAAGATGAAATACAATGGCTTCTTAACAAGTTTGGTTACAGCACATATCATCGTGGTCTTCATGGTTGGACTCTGTTACACTCTGCATCATATGGTGGACACATTGAGATCCTTCAACTACTCATCCATCAATATGGTATTGATCCTAATGAAGGTGATGATAATAGTGTATCTAGTATACAAATGGCATCTTATAAAGGCCACTTATCTATAGTACAATATCTAGTAGACACGTGTCACGTTCCTCCTGATCAACCAGACAATAGCAATAACACTGCATTACTATACTCAGCAATGGGGGGCCATTCTGACCTAGTGGAATTTCTTATTAAGAGAAATTGTAATACTTCTCATATTAATTTTAATGGTGAGTCTTTATCATTGTTAGCTTGTATGAGTGGAGAAATAGCATTAGTCCACAAGCTTGAATCATTAAATCTCTTCTCACCAGATGACATAACAAAGTCAGGGGCTGGTATTTTACATTTCACTTGTTATTCTATGAATGATAAAAGTGTTGAGCTTATTAAGTATCTTTTAAATCAATATCAATTATCCATTGATGTAAAGGATCGATATAGTATGACCCCACTTCATATTGCTTCATGGTTTGCCTCATCATCAGTTGTTGAGTATATTGTTAGTATTCAAGGTAATGAAGCATTATTAGTTTATGATCATAATGGTATGTCATGTTTACATTATGCATGTTTTGCAAGTCTTTACTTTCCGGCTGGTATTGTGTATAGTAACCTTATATCACAAAGTGATGCATCAGATATTGAGATTATTAATAGAACTAGAATAAAACCAAACATTGATTTCTTCAAACGAAATGAAAGAGTTAAAATGTTTTCTTCACTTCTCAAGAAAGCTAGCACTTGCCCTAACTTTGACATCAATACCACTACAAATGATAATCGGTCATTACTTCATTTAGCATCATGGAGTGGCAGTACATTACTAGTTAAAGCATTAGAAGAATATAATATCAATTGTACATTAGATGATGATGGAATGTCTCCAGTTCATTATGCTGCCAGGTCAGGTTCTACTAGTGTATTAAGTTATATTATATCTCAGTATGATCTCAATGCTAATGATACTGATACTTATGGCTGTACACCATTAGTTTACTCCTGCTGGTCAGGAGGGATTAATTCTGTTAAATATCTTATTAATAATCATAACAGTGATCCTAATATCACTGATAATGATGGTAGGACCTGTCTTTATTATTCTTGTCATAATGGTCATACTGATATTACTCAATATCTCATTGAGGTGCAGCATTGTGATATTAATAAAACAAATAATGAAGGACGCACATTAGTACATCATGCTGCATGGAGTGGTAACTTTGATTTAGTTCAGTATCTTATTACTGAACAAGGTTTGTCTCCTACTGCAGTTACTAAGAATGGCCTCACTGCTTTACATTATGCCTCACTGTCTCTTAATTTATTTCTTGTTAAAGAATTAATAACTACCTACCAGTTAGATCTTCATCAAGCTGACAGTAAGGGTAAGCTACCAATTCATTATGCTGCTGAATCTGGTGATAATTTACTACTGGAATTATATGTGAAGGATTACAAGTGTAGTCTGAGCCTAACAAATTACAAAGGTTGGAATGTTATTCACTTTTCATCTTCAGAAGGTCACACTCACTTCATTAAGCATTTGGTAGAGAATCACCAGTTAGATCTGTGTGCTGTGAATGATGAGGGAATGGCTCCTATTCACTTAGCATGTAGTAATGGAAGATTGAACTTGATCCAGTACATTATAGAACACATGCTATCATCACTTGAACTACCTCATAGCACAGATGGTCACACTCCATTCCTTATTGCAGTGTACTTCAATCAGTTAGAAGTTATTAAATATCTTATTAGTAAGAAGTGTAATCTATCAGCTACTGATGATGAAGGATCTGGAGCAGTTCACATATCAGTAGAGAGGGGTCACTTGAATGTATTGAAGTATCTCATTGATAATAACTATTGTAATCCTAATGCAACCAATCATCAAGACCGTACACCACTACATGTTGCTGTAGCAGCTGATAAATATGAAATATTAGAATATTTACTGAGTAAGAGTATATCTTCAATGAGTGTTGTCTGGTTACGTGAGATAAAGTGTTTATTAGACAGTCCTCATGACATTTACAATAATCCACATAATGCTGTACTTATTAATGTACAAGATAAAGATGGTAATACACCATTACATGTAGCCTGTCATGATGGAGAACAGAATATGGTATCACTATTATTAAACGCCAGTCTGTCTAACAATAACTTATTAATTACTAACAAGAAAGGACAGACACCATTACACTTAGCAGTTGCCTCTGGTCATAAGGATACCACTGAAGCTTTACTGTTCTCAGTCACTGGTAGTTCTACTCATCATGATCTCCTTACAGCTACTGATAATGAAGGATCCACTGTATTACATACAACTTGCAGTAATGGCCATATTGATGTCTTTCTTTACTTTTGTAGGATTTATCCTGATGGCATTAATACTTTGGATAATAGAAATCGCTCTATACTTCATGCAGCATGTGAGGGTGGGAATGTGGAATTGGTACAACTTTTAATTGACAACTTTGGACTGGACCCTGTAGCACAAGATAAAGATGGCGTTACTTGCATGCACATATTGGCAGAAAGAGGTAATACTACGATATATCAGTTTATAAAGGATCAAGTAGCTTCTAACTATATCCCTTGTGATGATAATTGTCGTACTCCTCTTCATTATGCATGTCTCTTCAATCGTAATGAGATGGCACTGTATCTCATTAACAGTTGTCATTATAATCCTGATGATCCTGATAATAATGGATACACTTCAGTTCATGCAGCATGTGAAGCTGGTAACTTTGACTTAATTCTACAATTTCTCACAGAGCTTTGCTGTAATGCACTAGCTGAAACTCGTGACAAGAAAACTCTACTTTATTTTGCTAGTAAAAGTTCTAATTTAGAGCTTGTTCGGTTTTTAGTTGACGTATTCAGTTTAAAACCTCGTCCGCATGATATTGAAATAGCTCAATCACTTAATCCTGATTCATCAGTAGTTAAATATCTTCAAGAGATACATTATGATTTATTTCTTTTAGAACAAAGCAAAG